GGAATGTACAGACGGATCAGGAACATAAAATGTATCTGGAACAGACGGATCAGGAACACAAAATGTATCTGGAATATAAAGACGGATCAGGAACACAAAATGTATCTGGAATGTACAGACGGATCAGGAACATAAAATGTATCTGGAATATAAAGATGGATCAGGAACATAAAATGTATCTGGAACAGACGGATCAGGAACACAAAATGTATCTGGAATATAAAGACGGATCAGGAACACAAAATGTATCTGAAACAGACGGATCAGGAACATAAAATGTATCTGGAATATAAAGATGGATCAGGAACATAAAATGTATCTGGAACAGACGGATCAGGAACACAAAATGTATCTGGAACAAACGGATCAGGAACACAAAATGTATCTGGAACAGACGGATCAGGAACATAAAATGTATCTGGAATATAAAGACGGATCAGGAACACAAAATGTATCTGGAATGTACAGACATTTTGTGTTCCTGATCCTACATTCCAGATACCAGACGGATCAGGAACACGAATATACCAGGGATGGAGCGGATACTGGAGATCAGTAATAGACGGATCACGAATATACCAGGGATGGAGCGGATACTGGAGATCAGTAATAGACGGATCATGAATATACCAGGGATGGAGCGGATACTGGAGACCAGTAATAGACGGATCACGAATATACCAGGGATGGAGCGGATACTGGAGATCAGTAATAGACGGATCACGAGTATACCAGGGATGGAGCAGATACTGGAGATCAGTAATAGACGGATCACGAGTATACCAGGGATGGAGCGGATACTTGAGATCAGTAATCGAATACTTCATATTTTTATAAATACATGCAAAATGCCAACTCTTCGAATACGAATACATAGGAATGTATTCATGAATATTTTGTCTGGTAATATACAATAATGATAAAACAGCAGACGATAAGATTTCAATACTTTTGTTTTATGAAACAAACTTTTTAGAAACTGAAACAAAATTTGAACATTTCAATACTTTTATTTTTCCAAATGCAGTAGCAAAGTTTTAGAATATTTTTAAATGAGATATATAGATATTATAACTGTCTATTGTTCTTATGAACATCAATCTCTCAAATGTCTTGTCAATTAGACGGCAGCGATCAGATCTGAGGGTTTTGCCTCCGATGCTAAATAAACGCTTAACGGGGGCAGAGGATGCTGGAACACTCAGATAGCATTTGAATAGTGGAGATAGGGTAGGAAAGTTTTTCATGGATCTTCCAATAATCTAGAGGGCTGCTTTCTTCAGGAATACAAGAACCATCGAGGTAGGTGTTGATATTTGTGTCTTCTGAAGATGAGGCGACTGGTTTCTTGGAGTTTACTAAAGAGTTTACTTCTCTTGCTAAGGGGGATTTACAGTCCTCTTTTAGTTCCATGGTTTTAGGATTGTTTGTTGATGAAACTTTCTGAATTTCTTGCTGTAGGAACATTCTATTGGATTCATAGGTCTAGCGAAACACTAGTCAAGCTCAAATCTGGGATCTAATGCCTCAGCCAAGCAGAAGACACTTCGTTGTTCATATTGAGTCAGCATGGCGCGAACAGATTTGTTCAGTGCAGAGACAAGATTGAAATCATATCTGGACTGCATGTTGTCAATCTCAATCATCAGCCCATATACACATGGCACTACATAACTGTAGGTAACAATGTTCTGACCACGGGTGAAATATGTTGCCTCTTCAAAAGGTGTCAGTATTGTCATCAAATCTGCAAGTACAGTTCTATCATAAAAAGTAAATTTAAATGTACCAGTATCTAGATTATCCAACTTCTCCTGGGGAATCTTCAATAAAGACTTAATCATCTTAATTTCTGAGTTCCATCGTGTTGGTGTTACCGATTGAACTCCGGCCTCTCCCTTAAGTAGATCAGTTGGTGTCGTTGATTTTCGAATATAGGACAAAATGGCTGATGCTGATGGCTTTCGGTAGTGGTCCAACTTTGTTCATGCTGTCCCTGACCACAAGTTGTAGCATGTGGGAAAAGCAGGAGTCATGTTTAGGAAGACATTTGAATAAATTGTCTGATGATTTAGATTCACTCAAAAGTTTATCGTCTGAGTCACTATCTGTAGATGAGTTATCACCATCTCTCACACTATGTAGTGTTTGCGGTTCAATCCCAGGCAAGCAGAAAGCCTTGATCATGTTGGATGCGTTATCAGATGTCACATATGGTAACTTGTTGTTGATGTGAAAGAGATTTATCATTTCATTATATTGAATTGCAATGTTATCAGATGTATGAAACGCCGACATGCCAGCATGACTGTTTACATTTTCCAGTCAAGTATAAAATGACCAGTGACTCCAAGAAAGCTGCACATTTGTCTGCTACTCCAGATATCCACAGTGACATTGATGTTGGGTACAAGTTGCAGTAGAGAGATGACTTCATCAAACCTGCTCTCGATCAACATTGTGGACAGATGCTTGTAACTGGAAAGAATATACCGAGAATCCATGGGTGCTATTAGATCTTAAATCTCTTGACTTCAACACTAAGAAGTGTTTCAGTGTACCGGCAATAACATTGACAAGTTTGTTAGTGATGTGCTTCTGACAAGGGTGTGTAGTTTTATATTTAGTTGATTCTGTACAGTATGCTGCTATTGTAGGCTGCTGCACCTTGGTGGAAGTACCAGAGCCAGATGTAGACTTCTGTATCTCTGTCTCATGATTACACTAGAAATACAAAAATGTATCTCAGTTATATAAAATAGAATATAGTTTATAATAAAAACATATAATAATAAATAAGGATGATGAATATAGTTCATAACATTAGAAATTTGGTTTAAATATAGAATATAGTTTATAATAAAAAACATATAATAATAATTAAATGAAAATAATGGAAAATATAGTTTAACACGCATGTGAAATTTAGTTTACCTATATTAAATTGTATAATTTACATAGAACATAGTTCATGTTAACAAAAAATAATAAAAAGGCTTACCTTCAGACGTGTCAGTAGGTTAGAAATGTTTTTTCCCTAAAGCAGAAATAGTGTGATCACAATATTTACACTTTTCCTTGATGTGACCAGATCTATCAGTAGGAAGTGTTCATGTATCACTGAAGGCAGTTTAGTACCATCTCTAATTCTCTCAAGTGACTTGACTGGATTAATAACCATGTAATACAATAACGTTTAAAGTGGTTGAAGAATACTGACCTAATTTAACCCTCTCGCCACGAGCATCCTTTGCTGCGTGTGTCAAGATGTTTTTAGTAAGTAACATTCAAAATTTAATTAAACTACTTTTTGTTCATGCTATACCAATTAGTATAGCATAAAATCATATAAAATAATCCATATTTTAAAGATATTTAAGTTCTTAATTTTGTAAGGCAATATTAAAAACAAATCCCGAATTTCCTCTAGTGTGTGAAATGTGACTTTTTTCTCTAGGCATCCCCTCTTCTCTAATTTATTTACCACCCCTCAAAAAAGTACGAAATTTAACGTAAATTACTTATTATAATGTTTTCATCGCTCAGGCAAAGCATAATTTTCATATCCTTCAATTTTGTTTTTGTTACATAGCCATCAAATACAAAATCAGATACCTCTTGCCACGCCCACCTATCACATTCTCTCTCTTTCAGGATTTGTCAATATTTCTCTCTGACATTCAATACTACATT